GCCTCAGCTGCGCACGCGCTGCTTCCCGCGCCTCGCGCCGCTGCAACGGCCGCGGCGTTGCACGTGGTGCGGCACGCGCGCCTCGCGCTGCCGCAGTGCGGCTGCGGCATTGCATGTCGTGCAGTGCATGCACCTCGTGCTGCTGCAATGCCGCTGTGGCATTGCATGTCGTGTGGTGCACGCAACTCGTGCTGCTGCAGTGCCGTTGTGGTGTTGCATGTGGTGCTGCACACGCCTCACACCACTGCAATGCGGTTGTGTCATTGCATGTGGTGCAGCACATGCACCTCGTGCTGCTGCAATGCAGCCATGGTGTTGCATGTGGTGGCATGAATGCCTTGTGCCTTGCACCACTGTAACGGATGCAGTGCTGCTGGCACACACCTGGGGCCTCGTGTTGCTGCAATGCAGCTGCGGTGCTGCCTGTGGTGCCATGCACGCCTCGCTGCGCTGCAGCGTATCTGTGGTGCTGCCCGCACCTTGTGCCCACTCCACTGCAACACAGCTGTGGTGCTGTCTGCGCCTCACACTTCAATCTGCTACAACACAGCCACATTGCAGCCCTGCGTCCCCCACCTCGCATCACCCAACTGCCTGGGTGGGGCTGATTCCAGCCTCCCGCAGCAGCGTTCCTGCTGACAGTGCCCATCTGGCATGAGGGCTCACGGCACCCCAGAGGCCAGTGATGCCAGGTGCCTTGTGCACCTTGTTTCCCTCAGTTTCGCTGCTGCCACAGGGCTCAGGGCACCCCCTGCCCTCCGCCTGTTTGAARGTCTCCTCCTGAAGGGAGGTTCTTGCCTCTGTTCCATTTTCYGGGTTTCCATTTCTCCCATCAAGGAAAGGCTCAATGCTCCATCCCTCRCTTCGCAAGGACAAAGTCCCACCAGCAGGCCAGGGGGCTCCCTTTGCCTCCATGAGCTGTTCCCYCTCCTGCAAGGAGCTCTGCAGCAACCAGAAGGAGTCAGCGCTTGTTGCCAGGGTGGTGTCTGCAGCCTCCCGGAGCTTTCTGCTTTCTTGGAAGTTGGACAAGGACTGGGCCAAAATATTTATCCATGTGACAGCCACCTGTTCCCAGCTATTATCTTTTGTACAAGGCTCATAGCTATGAGGCCACATCCCAGACAAGGCTGGGCATGACATATAAGGGGAAGGGAGTGGCTGGGTCTCTGCAAAAGGCAGCAGCCCAATACTGACTTGTGCCATTACTCACTGTGTCAAACCCATCGGTGTGTGTCAAGCAGCGTGTGTGCCCTGGACGTCTGWCCCAGCTCGCTGGATGAATCGGCAGGTGGCTCCAGCGTGGGCTCTGACTGGGCTGGGACATCGCAAACTTCAGGCCAAAGTCCTCATGGTCTGCGTGGACAAAAACACTAGGCAGAAAAGATACCTCAAGCTAGGGCCGTTTTTGCTATTTTCAGCAAGATCACTAATGTTTGCAAACTGATGCAAGCACCTCAGCATTGCAGCTGATCAGATGTCATGTTTTGAAGTTAGCACATTGCAGATAGATAAACAGAGAAAGGGCAGGAGAGTGAATGGCCATCCAGAGTTGGCAAAAGCAAAGTAGCAAAAAATACATCACATGGCCTTTTTACTGACATAGTTAAGAATAAACAACAAGATCTGATCATGTTTTGATTTTGTTACAATACCCACTTGTTGATGACAGAGATGTGCCTCCTTGTTTTACAAGTTCACAGACAAGTGACATGGTGGACAAAGTACATTCTTAATATTTGTACAAGAGCATGGGACAGTTTACTTCTGCACAGACAGGCATCACAAGATATGGAGGGCTGCTGAAGTCATTTCAGGGCTAACATGCATATTTCTGTGAATTTCCAGGTGAATAATGAAAAAGGAGGTTGCAGATTTTGCTGTCCCTCATTTTCCATTTTTCTTTTTTTTTTTTTTTTCATGACAGAGGAAATAGATCCATAATGCTGTGCTGTAATGTGACATGCAAGGCTGTCAAACTGTGACACTTGGGATGAGTGAGACTTTTAAACATCAGAAATTCAAATTTTTAATGGCACACTGGCAATACAGACCTAACACTTCATCACAAGGATGACACATTCTAAAAGCTGATTTAAAATAAATCAGCGTGGGGATGTGCTCTTTCACAGGTTTGAAGAATGACGAGACAGTACAACAGTTTTATTCTTAAGTAGAGTCAATAAAGTTTTCTGGAGACTCTGGTGAGTGCATCAAAGCACATAATCTGGAGCTGCTTTAAACTGTGGTATTGTTGCTGAGCTCCTGTGCCTCTAATTATTTTTTGGCTTCTCCAGTCTCAACCAATTCCTTAACAGGTGGATTGTGTTTCTTTTACTCCTAACAGCAGTTTTAAAGAAGAAAAAAAAAAAAAAAAAAAAAAAAATCAGAGCTGACTCACCTTTAGATCAATTGCTGTGTCTCGTCCGTGTTCTCAGGCAGTGAATGTCACCATGTGCATCCACTGCCCCACCACAGGTTCTCTGGTTCACAGCTGTCCTCCAAGAGCTCCTGGGCACATCCTCCTTCGCTCCAGCCACCAGTACTGTCTCTCCCTCCACCTGCAAAGAGAAAGGTGAAGGCCTCAGTGCCAAGACCGCAAGTGGGTTTTCATCACATACAACAGCTTTGCCGAACAGAATTAGGAGCCAGGTCCACAATGTTACTGTTCATGTTCGATGTGCTGGTTCAATAAGTCAGCACTGCACAGGTTACTTTGTGATAGCAAAAGTCATGGCTTCAAAACATGCAAGTGAATATGTAATATTTAATGCCATTTCTTTGTGGGAGGGATTGCTTCACCTATTGCTTTGGCATAACTTAGTTATAACAATGAATATCAAAATTAACCAATCTAATTTGTGGAAAAAAAAAAAGGGCATTCAACGCATACTGAAAACAAGAAGAACAGAAACACTATTCAGGACTCAGGTTCTACAGTTCCCAAGCATCAGGTATGGCAGCAAACCCGTTATTCCTATTGGCATCCTGCAGTGAGTGCGGGCAGTGAGTCACAATGCTAAATACACTGACAGCTAGAGTCAGACTGGCTTTTTTTTTTTTTTTCTCTCACACCAATAAGTTTTAATTAAGCTCCTATTTAGACAGCAATTTCCAACAGGGAAACAAATTCATCCTGTTTCAGGTGGTAATGACAAAGATATTACTGTCTTCACACTTTGTGAAGAAAGCCTATTTCTTTCTTTAGTGTTAGAATTTAGGCTAGTACATAGCCAAGATCAAACTCATTCCTGAAAAGTTTTAGTTTTATATTTAGATTAACTCAAATGGAACATAACATTTGAAGAAACATCCTTGTTTCCTTTTCAAGTCTTAATTTCTCTGCCTACTGCTAGCACCTAGTATTATCTGTAGACAAGCACACAGACGTCACTTACACAAACACCATCTGATGGAAATGGGACATTTGGTAGTTTTAGAGGGTGCAAATGACAGAGCTCTGGTGTTGAAGACRGAACAGTTGTATTTAAAGCATCCACAGGTTCCTCCGAGTATTGGTGTTTTTCTGTCCGTTATTACAATKTTCTTATTGCTTCAAGAAATATAGGCCATGAATTAGAGGCTCAGATAAAACCATTTGCATCCCAAATACCTGTTTTGGACATAGCAGTCATATCAGGGCATCTGCTGATACATCCCTGGAATGTACAGGAATGAAAATTGCAGAGATCCTCTTACAACTCAAATCTTTTGCACCATGAGTATTACCTGTCCCCTTTGGTGAGCTCTGGACATTTTCTAATCACTTTGTCACACACACAAAGGAAGAAGCAAATCACATAATTCTGCCAGACACTAACAGTGATTCATTCCAAGATCAGCTTCAAAACCCTCCTCTGAACTGATTTCCACCTAATCCATAGGTTCCTTGATATATATAGTTTGCTCAACTATCCCTCTGTCACTTTGCACTGGTCTCTCACACAAATTCAGTAATGATCAAAAGAACCTACTCCTCTGCGCTCCTTTGCTTTCTGCCTCAATAAATATCTATCCCATTTTTATGTCTTAGAAATCACTTAGGGAGGAAAAATAGGGACCAAAAAGAAACTTCTACTAAGTTACTTTTTAAACTCAGAATTGCACATCCGAAATCTGCACCTGATGTTCTGCTAGGGAGAGTAAAAGCTTCAGCCTTAGGTGTTCCACATTAATTGCCTGCTATTTTCATTACTGACCATGATGGCAGCAAATGTTCCTCAGCAGATACTTGTATTTTAATTTATCTTCAAATATAAATCACACATTGTAGCACTTTTTTTCCTCTGGGTTAATTGAATCAATTCTCTAAATGTCTCTAAGCCTGATCATTCAAAAACGATTCATTACTTGAAATGTTTTAAGAATTATGGCCTTTAGATTGCATGCAGAATGGTTTTGGTCCTTACCCGAGATAAAGATATGTTACCTCTATTTTTTTGTGAAGTAATATCTACAATACTGTGATAATCCTATAAAAGTTATAGAAATTCTCAAATACCCCAACAAATTCACTATCTTAATTCTACAAATCTTTATAAAAATTGCTTAGAAATGAAATGACTCTGGATACATTTTAAGATCTACAAATATGAGAAAAGAAAAGAGGGTGTTTTAACATTACTTGTAGCATAAACTCCAAAATAAATGTTGCTATCCAGAGCAATGTTTTTTTATTACTGAAAATCCAGAAATGACCAATGAAGAAACCCCACTTGATTTTTTTTTTTTTTTTTTTTTACCATGAGTATAACGGGTCAGCTTTCTAACCTGTGATATCAGTTGTTTTACACCCAGTAGAACTGTAAATTGTAGCTGTGGTAAAGTCAGTCCTAAATTTAGTCTGCGATTGAAGAGCTCAACCAAGCAACGCAGCCCGTCGGCAGGCGCTGCGCAGGAGGCCGGCCGTGCCAGTGGGGAGCCAGACCAGGCCGACTCTGAGGGTGTCGTGAGGCACCTCGTCACGCAGAGGTTTGTCCCAGCGCTGGGCACAGCCAGGGCAGGGCCACGGGGCTGCCCTGTCCCAGTTGCTCCTTTGGAGCAGCTGGAGTTTAAACCAGGGCTTGTGTGATGGCAACGTGTGGTGCCTGTGACACTGCTTGGAGCATGCTGGCTCTTAACTGCAAAGCTATAGCTAGCGTGCTCTTGCTGTAGGAACTCTATGCTGAGCTTAAATATATAACTCACCTTTCTATTTGGAATTTCTCTTCAATTTACCTGTTTGAATTTATTATTTGTAAAACACATCAAGCCTCAAATGAATTGACCTTCTGCTAATGTGTACCACCTAATGAACGGAAGCAATTAACTAATTCATGTTGGAATATTGCACTTTTCAGTTCACATTCATCATCACTAAATGTGTGATTTAGTTCGCAGGTTTAAATTTTTTATTATTACCCTTTAAACTAAAGAAATAAGTCTTATATTTAATTACCTGAACTTACATATTCAATTAATAGAGTCATTACCTTAATGAATATGGATTCTGCATAGAAGTAACAAACGATTGCTGGTCGGGTGTGCTCCTGAGTACATCCTGTGGAGGGTATGCTGTTAATCTCAGAGCAATCTTTTCCAATTAAAAAGACTTGATTCTGGAGTGCCAAAGGAATCTGGCCTGGAAATCCAACATTATTACACCAAAGTCCATAAAATTTTTCTTTTATACTGTATCTCATATGTAAACTCCAAAAGGCAAAACTTAGGTAGATTTAAACATTCAAATGTGAACCATTTTGAAGTAAAAGCAGTATAAAAAAATGAAAAACAGGCAGAGTAGCATCTCCCCTGCTAGAAGATGAGAGATGAGTGTTTGGAGCACAGAACTGAAACAAATGGAATGGTAGAGAAGGAACAAAGCACTGCAGACAGCATCTCTTGTGGCAAATACGTCTATAACAGAAAGTGAAAATGCGTCTAGATGCCAGTACAAGCTTGGAAGCTGCCTGGGGTGGAAACAGCTGAAGGTAAGTAGGTTGGCAAGTCAGACGCAGAAAATTGACACTTTCCTGAGAATAGTTATGTTTCAGAAGCACAAATCTGCTCTCTTGTTTAGCTATATCTATTTCTTTGCCAAATGCACCATTTTACCTTTTTTAGAGTGTTAATGGAGGCAAGTGTGTCATTACCTTTGGCATTCAAGTCATATGCTTTTTACTAAGTAGTTAGGCTCAAGATCTGTTCTTCAGGACTCTGTAGCTATATCAGTAGCCATAATAAGTCACCATATGTCTCTTGCTATAGGGAATGTGTTCCCTGTAGAAGGATAAAAGGTTCTGATAATGTATCCCATTCTAGTTAAGAAAACATAGGGCATAACGTCATTGCAAGGCTAACAGGATACACTTTGAGGTTTTCTTCATGCTACATGGATGCATTTGTCAAGAGGTTTTTGTTTTTAATAGCAGAGCTGATTTTGATCACCATTTTAAGGCCTTTTTATAAAGAATTCTGAAATAGTTTTTGTTGCTGTTGTTTCAGGAAAAAAAAAAAGACCATACTGTCAAACAGCTTAGCTCACATTTACTGCTTATGGACATGTGCTGTTCCAAAATGGGAAAGTGCAGAGAAAAAGGACAGGGTACAGACTGCAATAGGGTGCTTATCTGTACTAAACTCATTTCTTCTCTAAAAGCAAAGTTCTTTTCCTCCAGATGCATTCAGAAGTCAGACCTGCTCATATTGTAACTTACTCGATAAACTTCTTGTAGAACCGTATCCAACATATAAAAGGGAAGCCCTCCTAGTGCAGCAGATACCACTGGCACACAAAGCAATCTGCACAGCATTTCTCGAACACCTTCACTTTTTGCTAGCACGGAGAGCCCCATCCCAGGGCCCCCTCGGGGAGGAATGTGATCTATGCCAAACCACCCCTGAGAGAGCCCGCCTCCCAGTGCAGCGCTGTGCACCTATCATACAGATTAAACCAACTCAGGAATCAAGAGACCCTATATTCTACACTGACAGGTCAGTACAACAAATTATGAACTCTGTGATCATCAATTCTGTGATGCAAAGCAATGTATGTACCAGTTATGCATGGAGCCCTGACAGTGTGCCCAGCCAACTAAGAAGAAAAGATAGGGCTCTGATCCCAAGACAGAGACAACTTCTTACTGATTTCTCACTGAAATCAGTGTCAGCAGTATTTGGCTTCAGTGAGATTTAACCAGGCCTTAAAGACACTGGCAAAAAGTTTGAGACATTTGTGTGTGGTACCTTTTTATCTCTCATGAATCATCCGAACTGCAGTGTTTTATCTGAGCAGTGGAAGGACAGGAACAGAGAAGAAAGAACAAAGAGATTCCCATGGGGTCACCTTGTGAGCACTGCCCTGCCTGCAACGGGGGCTCAGCCAGACCTGAGCAGTTCATGGCACGTTTTGCCCCTGTTGAGACACAGAGCAGCACTCAGCAACCAGGGACTACAGCAGAGATGGAAAGATGGTCAGAAAGCACAAGAAACAAAGAAATCTTTATTTTCAGGTACTCTCATACCTCAGAATCCTGAACTGCGGTGTGTCCAGGTCTTCCTCCCCTTTGAGTCACCCCGTAGGACAATCAATCCACAGAACAGGGAACATCCCTTTCAGAGGACCACGCATCATGTTATCTGTGCAAATATAAATATAAATTAGGCAAAGGCATTTATACAGGGACATGAATTATAGCAAATGTACATATTCAGACCTTGTCTAATTCAATTAAAATCAGCAGATTTAGACTCAAAAATAATTTGACCCATATTATTACAATACAAAAAAATATACAGTATATTTATAGCCTTGGTCTCTCCAGCTGTGTTGGTTTAGGTTTTATTACATCAGTAATAACAATTTATGTGATACTCTGAATAATGTACTATTAAAAATTCAGTACAGTATATGCTGTTCTCCATGAGAATTAAACTGTGGGAGCTATGTGTGTTATTCTCTACTTTGCTATTTCTGTAGGAATGAAGATTACTCATAAAAATGGTTTAGGTTATACATACTGTACRAATTCCTGCTCTGCTGGAATCCAGGTGAAGAGGAGAAATAGTTCAGTGCACACTGCCTTGGGCCAAGGGTCCCAAGGGTCTCGGGTTTGTGATCTCAGTTCTAAGGTTACACTGATTGTGATTAACACTACGCACATTGAAGCAGGAACAATAATATCAGCCCGTTTGTTGACATCCTCAAAGGATGTCAATAGATCTGTGAGGCATAACCTCCTTTAACAGAAGCCATTTTGATAGTTCTAAAGAACACCAGCTTTATCTGTGCAACTATTGATTTTGTCCTTTCCTCCAGTGCATTCAATTTTCCTGGCAAAGCAGTCACACAGAGAGCACTGCAGGCCCTATATCAGCCTTGCTGGAGACACCAGTGGTACATTTGCTACCTTCTTTTCTGCTGACATTGAGATCGAGTACAGCAAAAGATGACCCAGTAGCACTTCAGTAAGCGAGCATTAGAATCCCTTAGTGGAAAGATCACAAAGCTCCAACGATTAGTTACTGTTCAATTTACCAATTTCTCTTAAAGCGTCTCCTACTGAGAGTTCATTTAGGATGGTTCCTCATACGCAAACACTTAGTTTACAGATCCTCTGTAGTTTTACTTTCTCTCCTGCAGGACTCCTCTGGTGATGGAATTTGAAAGTTTATATTATTAATTCTACATTCCTGGCAAGGTGCCCCTTAAAACCTTTTTGTCAGCCCTGCTGTGCTTCTACATTTTATTTGACAGAGCTTATATACTTTTATGCTCCTTGCATATATAAATATATATATGACACCTATATTTAAAGTTGTCTTTTTATTTTTAATATCCTCCCTTGCACTTTAGCTTAACTTCCCTCAGACCCTACAGCAGTCGATATTCACGGTGACATTGCCAATAGTGTTACCATTGCGACACTGGGAGCAGGGACCAGACAAAGGAGACCAACAGAGAACGGTAATCACAGTGTATTTTGTAATCACATGATCCAAATAATGTATGTAACAAAACATCAGTAGCAGGGAACATGTATGTTCCCTATAGTATGTTCCTATACGATACAAATCATACATGTTAGTACTTACAATTGAAAATTTCGTAACAATTCTTTTATCTTTATACTTAACTTTTTTTTTTTTTGTAATGACACATATGTGTTTTTCAAAGTGCAGCATTGACTATACTCTGCCTATTGCCAAAAGCAGGGAGGTTATACAAGGCAGCATGTGCTTTTT